CACAGCAGCGCGAGGAGCGCCAGGGCGCACACCGCACGGCGCCGCACCGCCAGCGTCGTCATCGGCAAAAGTTGTAGTAGTGGCCGTAGAGTGGCAGAGTCGCTGAAGTCAGCGGGGAAAAGGACGCAGGAAACAAGAGAAGCAGAGGGATGGAGAGGGAGTGCAGCGGAGACAGCGAAGAGAGCAGGTGGCAAAAAAAGAAAAAGGCGGCAGCCGATCAACTCCACGCAGCCACGCAAGAAAGACGCACACAACGCCAGCAGGCACCCACGACGGAGCAGCGAAGCGCAGCCACCCCCACACGCACATGCACACGGGAAGTGGGCCCGCAGCCACCACCCAAATGAGGCGGCTCCCGCAAGGAAAACGAGTTAGTCACAGCGCACTCCCCCTCGTGCTGTGCGGTTTTCCTCCCCTCACGTCCTCTTCACGTCCCGCGAGGAAACCGCAGCCGCACACGGCACTGCCGGCACGGGCTGCGGAAAGGCCATCCACCTGCACGGCACTACAGGCGCACCGCGTGCACGTCGGTTGTGTGTGTGCCTGCATGCACGCAACGCAAAGAGGGAGAAGAGTGAGGCGTGTGGCGGCACACATACAAACACACACGCACGGCAGAGGCGCAGGAAGGGAAATGAAGCAACTGAGGCCGAAGCCGGCACCGCAGCCCAAGCGGCCGCCAGCCACGGGAGATGCGTTGAAAAGCAAAAGAGAGAAAAAAAATCGTCCTGCGCCATGTACAAATCCCCCACAAACCCCAAAAGAAGAATTACTTCCCTCCACAGTGTTTCCTCCACAAGAAAAAGAAAGAAAGTGAAGCGGCAGCGAGCTGTCGCGTGGCCTCGCAAAACTGCGCGTGTATTCTCTACACGCGGCAAAAGCAAAGGCGGTGAACATCTCACTTCATTGCACTCCTCCTCACGTTCGCACCGGCCAGTTATACCTCACAGCCCCTCCGGTGTGCGTGGCGTCCCTCGCTGGCCACGACGCGTCACCCCCTGCGCGCCCCATCGCTGCGGCGCACCGTCCCCCGCCTGCGTGCACTGGGCAGAGACGCAAGCAGCCACGCGGGGAGCTCTCGCCCACCTTCACAGCGAGAGTGTAAGCAAGAAAAGAAAGCAAAAAGATTACACACACAAAAAGAAAAGAAAAAAGGGACTCCACTGAAGAGAACAATCAACGAACGTCAAACAAACCCTGCACACATTCCAGCGCGGGCCGCACCGCCTCCTCCCTCGCTGCCGTGTTCTCCGGCTCAGAGGAGCGAAACAAATGCCCACAGCGCAAGCATAAGCAGCGAGAGCACCGCAGACACACTCCCACGCGCAGTGCCGTCGCCGCCGCCAGCCTCCCTCTGCACTGTGCCCGCAGCCCCCTTTGCCAGTGTGGCGGAGGCGTTGTTGCGGCCCGGCGCCGGTCCACGG